AACGTTCGACGAACGTCACCTTCGGGCGAAAATATAAGACAGGTACGATCGTCCCCATGGGCTTGGCCGAAAAAAGGATGTGGGGCAAATTTAGACCTACGAGATTGAGGATGGCATTAAGGATCATCTTCTTGCACACTCGGGGAAAAAACTACGCAGAGCGTCGGGTAAAGACCTCGCACACAACTATCGGAATAAAGGAAATGGCAAAGTAAAAAAAATGCGAACGTAGAGACAACCATGAGGCAAAAGTATGTATATTCATCAGCGCTACTGGCTGGAATTTACAATCATATGATTCATATCAAGGCAAAATGAGTGAAAAATTACATCAAACGAAGTTAGGAGAAACAGGCCGGGACCCCCCAGGGTTATCATCTTCCTCCTCTTCAGGCTCAGGCTCAGGAGTCGGGGGTTCCAGGACTTCGCCCTTAGCCTTGGCTTCCTCCCGGCGAGCATCCCGCTCCAGCTTGCCCAGAGCTCGGATCAGCTCGGCGTCAGTAGTATTCTGGACCAAGTTGAAGCCGGGACCGTGCAGAGCGGCGAAGACGGGCAGTGTGGCCTTCACCCCCTCATTAAAGCCGATGACGAAGGAGCTATCCCCAACATCATACAGGAACTTATCAGACAGGGGGCACTCTCTAAAATCTGAACCCCAAACTTAAGGCAGTCCTTCAGCTTTTGCTTCTGCAGCTCGGCCGAAAACACATCGCCAAAAGCGCCCCCACAATACCTCTGGGCAGCAACCATGAATGCCCCGGTATTTTCATACCCAGAGGTATCAACGAGCCACTCAGGGGCCTCGTCCTTCTGAGCAGGGAGAACCGGGACGAGCTTGAACCTGGCCTTTTCAAAGGCGGCAACCTGCTTGGCTGACTCACGAGCCGCTTTCTGGGCGGCCTGTAGCTCCTTCTCCTTGGCGGCCACCTCTTTCTCCTGAAGACGGGTGGCCTCCCGCGCCTTCTTCAGGGCTGCATCCGCCTTGTTTTTGGCCTGAAGGGCGTCAGCATCCCTTGCAGCTTCTGCTTGCAGCACAGAGAGCCCGACCTACAGATAAGGGACATGAATATAAGATTACAGATCTCTAAAACTGTAACCCGCTAGTCAGCGTAAGGTATGTTTACCTGAAGAGCGGCTGCTAGAGCAGTGTTGGTGGCCTCCGTGGACGTCCGGGCCGACATCTCCACCCCGGCTAGAGGGGCGATTTCCTGCCAGATGTCGTGGGCCGGGCGTCCCAGGGGAAGGAGGGTTGCTTCTTTCTCTGCAGGGGCCGAAGAGCCGGCCTCGCGGGGCCTCTTTGTCTTCTTTTCCTTAGCCTTCTCCCCCGCCTGGGTAAGGACTGTCTGCAGAGGCGCCACCACCTCGGGGACGCCAGAATCAACAAGGGGTGCTTGGACCCCCTGCGCCATCACCGTGGCGATTAAGTGTTGTTCTGCCTCAACCGTGCGACGGTCGGCCTAAGAGGCGGAAGAGTTGGACTCGGAGGCTTGGGCAGCCTTGGCCTTAGCGAGCGCAGCATCGGCGGCCGCACCCTTGCTCTTCCTATTCTTGAGGAGCTTCTCGTTGTTCATCTGAGCTTCAGTTGGGGGAAGACCTCAAACGATAAAATGCAAGGAGTTGGCACCGGGCGGCGTGGCCCTTAAAGTACTCACCTTGGAGGACAGGACCGCCCGGATCCCAGAGACGAACGTAGGGGGAAAGGGAGTCCAGAGATTCAGGCGGTACCTATCCCCGCCTCGGCGAGCTTCTTGAAAGTAAGGAGGTCTTCCACATCCTGGATTCCGACATCCATCAACTTTTTGGCTAGCTCCTCCAGCTCGTCGGACAATTTAGGAGAGCCAATTTTGGGAGGATACCCATTCCAGCGGATCGGCAGACGAGCGTCCGCGTAGCGGACAAAGAAGTATTTGTTTTTCCATTCGTGGATGGACGTCGGTGCCCCCTCGAAGAGCCTCCGCTTCGGACGAGCGGCTACGCTCAGATACCCATCTGAATTTTGGGGAGTGACCCGAAAGAAGAAGTGGAACAGTTCTAAAGTTGCAGTGACACCGACGCCCTTACAACAAACAAGGAACGAAGAAATAAAGCGATAGGAGTTGGGCATGAACTGCGCTGGGGCCACTTGGAAGCAGCTAAAAAACTCGATATAAAAGGGATGAAGTGGGAATCGCAGTCCGGCCCTGATAGAGTCAAAATGCACCATAACCATCCCCGGGCGTCTCCTCATCACGTGGGTCGCGCCTCGGAGGCTGTAGCTAAGCGGATCAGGAAAGTAGATGTTAAGCGCCTCAAGGGCCGGGTCCGAGAAGAATTGCTCATGGCCAGTCGCGTTCTTTATAGGGCAAAGATGACGCTCCACATCAACCGTGAGGCCCAGATCGAACACCTCTACATCGGAACCGTCAACGGCCTCGATTCCCGAATAATAGTCCACTGGGTGATCATTATAAGCGGCTACGTCTTCCACGACCATTTGGATCGCACCTCTTTGGGGGGCATCGTCCCCATCTCCCCCAGGGACCGCATCACCCTGGGTTGCGTCTGCCGAGGAGGTACTTGCAGAGGTAGAAGTCTCAGGAGCATTGTTTTGCACAACCATCCCCGCGACAGACGGGGAGCCGGAGCGGCCGGAGGTACTGGCGCCATCAGAAGAGCGAGAATTGGACTCAGAGCCAGAAGAAGAGCCGGAAGAGGAACCCGAGCCAGAACTCGAGGAGATTTCCATAGAAGTCATTGGAAAGATCAGAAAAGGGTTACGAAGGAGGGAAGATAGAGCCTGAAATACCTTGGGTCGATGGAAGCAAGCTAGGGACCTTGTGGACGAACTGAGCACAGAGCAACGGAGATTCTAGAGCGAGAAAGCAGAAGTCGGGAACCCTAAGCCCAAGGGAAACCCTGGTATTTATAGGAGAGGCACCGATTCGGGGGCCAATGGGAAGGCAACGCGTGGCGAGGAGCGTATCCGGGTGCACGCGCTGCGCGTGAAATGGGGAATGTAATGATGACCTTACCTCGGAAAATGTACCGTTTCTGCGGCAGCCGTCACCTCGATTCCTGAACCGCCATCAAATAAGATACGCCATGGGGAGGAACGTCCACCCTCGGGAAGGCGGCAGGCGTAAGTTCCGTGCCGCGAGTGTCCACCTTTTGGGGACAATATACTTCCTTATGCCCTTCGCATGCTCAGAACATCAGAAGTGAGGGACTTGTGTTTGGTTAATGGCCCAGCACATGGGCCGGCCCATTCACCTCAACCAGACAAACGTCTCCCTTGGCGGGGCAGCCCACTCGGACGAACGTCCGTACAAAGACAAGTGGATCAAATCCACAGACAAACGCAACGGCGACGAACGTCGCCTCCGGAAGCCACTGTCACTTGGAGCCAATCCAACCCATGTGACAAATCATCTAAGGGCCGGGATACGAACGGCCCATTACCCTTTGCAAATACCACCAGGAGCAGGCCCCCGTATCCGGACTGGACGAACGTCTCCATGACTAGGCGGGAAACCCAGATTCTGGCGGGAAGCGCATTTAATGCCGGAGATTTGGTGGTTGGGACATCATCCACACACAAGCCTCCACATCAGCATAGCCAGCTACACATTGGTAGTATAAATAGCAGCATTTATTTCATTTTTAAGGGTTGGCAACTTACTATTCTTAGCACTCTAGCTTATAGCATTCTTACTCGCAGCTCTTCTACTGCCTTGTAAGACGAACGTGCCGACGAGCCTTAGCAAAAGTATTGTATTGGGGAGTCATTAACTAATTAATAATACCTAATCTCTTACTCGCTACTTACTGTTTCCTAATCCATCTCACTTGTTAGTGGGCTAGTTTATTCACACACTCCACTCGAAACTCTTGGGCTTACGTGTTGGACCCGAGGGTTGAAGGAATAAACCTCAACACATTTGCATAAATAAAACAAATATCTTTTTAAAAAATAAATTTCCCACAAGTACATTTTTTGAAAAGAGAAAAATAAAATTACTCGTATTATTTTCTTGATAAGTTAGTAACTTATACACGACTTATATAAGTTATTAAATTACCTTCCTCTACTTGTTTAGTTATATTTCTATTTTAATCTTGATATTCTAAAATAAAAGGACGAGCGTTTTAAATCGAGATAAACTCGCTTCATAATCGAAGTCTATTATTTTGTTTAGGCATTAACAAAACAAGTATAAAAATGAAAATATGTAAGTTAATATTATATATGTATGTGTATGCTTTTGTGTGAATTATATATAGGTCCAAATAAAGTGTCACTTCATGAAAATGGGAATAACTTTTCTGCATTGGATTTGAGATCAAATTATTGTAAATATACCCAAAAAACGGTACAGATTATAGATCTTTTCAACTCGGTAGTTTGATTTTTTTAGCCTCCCCTAAAATTTTGTTCTGGTTCCGCCCTTGATTATAAGAATTGTAAAAAATCAACAATGTTACATTAGTGTAAACATTGTAAAATTGTCAAACATTTTTGTTATAAACATTCTCAAACTGAACAATGTCATAATATGTTTAACATTGTTTCATTGTAGGAAGAAAGTCACAACATCAAAGCTGTTGAAAATAATGTCATAAATATATGTATTCAATCGCATGTTTCATCAACTCTTCAACCATTTTGAAAACTGGAGTTTTGAAAATAATGTCATAGATATTTACACAAACTAAAGTAGCATCACATAACATGATAACATTCTCTCAATTTAATTTCAAAAAATTATTTTTCTAACAAAAAATCAAGAGAACAAAAAAAAAAGAGAAAGTAACACAAGGAAGAAAAAATAGAAGAAAAAGTCAAAACGGAAAATCGAAAGAGAAAAAGAGAATAGATCTAGCAGAGAAACAGCTTCACAAAGAAAGAAGCCAGAGAATAGATCTAGCAGCTTCTTGCTCGCTGCAAAAAAAGAAAAACAAGGAAGGCAACACCGAGGAAGAGAAGACGCAGCAGAAAGAAGAAAAAGGAGGAGGAGTCTTACCAGGAATTTCCGCCTTTAAATTGTCGCCACGTCGTTGTGCAGTCGCCGGGCCACCGCCACCAGAAATTTTAAAAAATAATAAATTGACGAAAGAATTTGAAAATAAGGGGAGAAAGAGGTGGAGACGGTACGGTGAAGAAGAAGATGAATAGAAAAAGAGAGACAAAGTCCCGCCGCACCTCCACCGCGGCCGCTGGATATGACGCCTCTATAGACAATATCTTCCGCCGTTGTTTCCGATGTGCTTTCCGAATCATAGAAAAGCATAAAATAGGAGTAGGAAATAGATGGGAGAAGGAAATTCGACGGGAGAAGATGGTAGGAAGCCAGAAAGCATCCACAAAATTATGAGAGATGAGCAGATGTGTAATCAAGTAAGGATAAAGTAGGAATTAATGATAAAAGTGGTCTTATTTAGGAGTTAAAAAAGTTCTCTTATTTAATATTCTTTCTGAATTTAAGGATCTCACGTAAGATCTTTTACTCTTCAAATGCAAGGTTTTGCCATTTGCACTCCAATGCTAAATTGATGCACTCTTATTCAAAGTTTTATGAAAATATTCATTTAAATAGTCACATCTATTTTATTTAAAGGTGCATTTATTATAATTAAAATGTCCATTTCATTGTAAACAAAAACATTGATATGTGCAATAATTGTAATGTAAAAGAAAGTGCCATTAATCGTAATAGGAAGAATGTGATGTTGTAAATATATTTATATGTTTATTATGCACTAAAATGAATTAAAAATGAACTTTATAGAGCTAATTAAATTAAGTAGGTGGTCATGTTCTCATTTGACCAAACCCCTTTTTTGAACTCAACACTTTGTTGTTGTTGATATGCACACTTCGAATATTGATATGGCACATTTGATCTATTTGAAACTCATAATCTATAGTAAATAAAAGATTTGAAGTAGAACAGCTTTATACGCATCTTATTTATACCAGAAATGCACTTTAAACCTTAACTTCTACATATTCTCTTCAAATTCTTCACCTCTCCATTTTTTACCAGTTAGCATAAATGTATCTAGCACAAAATATGCGCTCTACCTTTGGGATAACAAGAGTCACAATATTGATTAATCCATGTGTACACTACAAACACATACAAGTAGCATTTTCATTAAATAAGCATCTCTATACAGTAGTAATTATGCACATTGAACCTTTTGCATGTCTGATATTAGAGTTATAGTTGAACCACAAGATCTAGCTCTTGTCGTAACCAACTCAAGAACTATTTCTAGTTTACCTTATTCTCCTTATCAACAACAACCCATGCAATAGGAACCGTCTTTCCATCTCCATCCACTCCATCCGCTGTTAGCAAAACACCTCTACACACAAATCTAAAAAAACTACCATCAACACCAATTATTTTCCTGCAACGTAGCGTGCTAATTAGATCCTCTTACATGCTTCAAAGCATACAGTTCTTGAGAAGACTCTTTTACCTTCTGATAAAGATTCCTTATATAGCTCAATTTTTTCCTTATTACCTAGATTACTATTTTCTGACATTGCAACATAAGCTTCTAAATATCCAAACCTTGCTTTGTAGCTTCCATCAAGTTCTTGAGTAATCTCTCTCTTAGCTCTCTTACACTTATGGAAACTGACATTTACTTTCAGTTTCTCCTCACCCTATTTTTTCATATCTTGCACTCTAAAAGTGGGGTCTCTGTATATTGTTTCCTTAAAATAATTAGCTAACCACTTCTCATTTACACTAGGAAGAACAAAGTGTCTAAAACACATGTACTTCGATGCAATAACCTTCACTGCAGGACCATGGTTTTCCCATTCATTGAAATCCAAACCCTAAAAGGATGCCCGTCTTCATTACAACAATAAGCACTCAATCTACATTTTTCATTGGGATCCTCATTTTTAGCCCCATTTGACACTATAATTTGCCATTGTTGTCCGAGGTTCACCAGCATTCTGAAAAGTCATCTCGACTATAGAGCACATTGTCTGTCATTAGCATCACACTTGATTCATCTTCACAAATAGATTCATTATTGGCTTGGACTTCTTCAACATCATTTTGATCTTCGTCTGTTATATATCTTACTGGTACACCTTGAGAATGAACGTGACTACTGTTTGGTATTAAAGTTTCTTTATGTTGACCACCATCCCTCACTTCTTGAGTGACAACACCATTTACATTACCCGTAAAATAATGCATATGAGCCCCAGAACTCCCGGTCATCACATCCAACATCCAACCTATGAGTAGGGTTGTAAACGAATCAAATAATTTGTGTTCGATTCGAGATTCGAATTCGTATAAGACGATTGGAATTCGGAAAATTCAAATACAAATACAAATATGAATATTAAATTTGATTCGATTTGTTATCAAACACAAATAAGAATATCAGTGTATTCGATTCGAATATTAATCAAATATATTCGATTAATAATAGTGATAATATTTATAATAATAATATTAAGAAAAATAGTAATAACACTATAATAACTTTTAAAAGATAGCAATACCCTAAAGTGTAGTTCATATATACATTTACCCATACAAATTCTAAGTCCATTTGCAATAAATCAGAGTATAAATACGAATACAAATCGGAGTTTTGGTTCAAATGTCTTTCAAATACAATACAAGTAATTATGTATTCGATTCGCAGAATAAAATTAGAGTCGTCTGACTTTGATATATACAATTATCAATTTATTCCACACATTATAAGTGTAATTTCTAATTTGTACTCCCTCCGTCCCGTTAGAAGGTTCCCACTTTCCTTTTTTGGACGCCCCATTAGAAGGTTCTCATTTCCATTTTAGGAAACAATTAACAATCTTAAGTTACAAATTAGTCATTAAATATTACAAATAATACATTTATAACATAATCGTTATCAATACTAAGACATTATAATATATACCTATTAAAATTATTTCTCGAAATATACCCGAAGTACTTTATTTAATTATCACCTAAATAATCGTGCCGTTTTGCTATGGGAACCTTCCAGCGGGACGGAGGTAGTATATGTTAGTGTTTATTTCAAAAAGTTTGAAGTAGATTTATATTTATTAATCAAAAAATTGATTCACTTTAGTATATTGTGCACAATCTAAAAATGCATTGATCCATTGAATTTAAATTCTAAAAACACATATTAAATCATAGCGTACATTTACAACATAAAAAAATATAAGAAAATTTAATTTTAAGTGATATTTGACTAATATTTAACCTATGCTCAAATCTATTCGATATTCGTATAAGATTCGTTAACTATTCGTATTGTTAAACAAATACAAATACAAATCGAAATTAATATTCGTTTCATATTTGAATTCGAATTCGTATTCGAAAAAATTAAACAAATACAAATACAAAATCCTACTATTCGACTCGATTCGGTTCGTATACAACCCTACCTATGAGTATAAAAAACAACTATGGTGCAGTAGACCTAATTCTATCAACCAAATGTGGAGTATATGTATCAATAACAACCCCACCTTCATTGGTTGGTCCTTCCGGATCAAGTATTTAATTTGTGAAATATATGGATGTACATCCACAGCATGATCGGCATAAAATTCCACATCTGAAACTCAGAAATTATTCATAATATGGTTCAACATCATCCTAATACTATCATTATCATGCACTAAGTATAAACCATCATCCAATCCCTTTTCTGGTTTCAAAATGAATATCGTTGTGCAAGTGATGAACTTCAAATCAAACTTGTAATTATTTCTACTCGTGCATAAGATATACAACTCAAATCTCTATTGAAATTAAAGATGGTATATACTGATATACATCTCCATTTGTATACTTTACATTTCCAGTTGTTTCATTGTTGTCCCATGTTCCACTATAATTAAACTTCACGTTCATCAAGCCATACATGTAGGAAAAAACTGTTAAACACAATGAAAACACTGAAATCCCAAATTCAGATTACCTTTACATTTGGTGTCTTTCATCTCGATCTCTCTTTGGCGGTATATCATGGGCTTAAGGGTTTATGGTGGTGTAATATTTGTAAGTTACGTTAGTCAAAGGCTGAAAAAGTCTTACTTTCAAATTTTTATTTTAAGCCCCAAGTTTGATTAAATTAACAGGGAGATGAGATGAGGTTTGGATTTCATTAAGGAGTGTTAGAGGAGAGTGACTTAATTGGTAACGTGAGTGTTTGGCAAACGGTTGTTGGTTGTTAGCTGTTAGCTAATTGACGACAATGGATTTTGTTAACTGTTTTGATTAGCTGATAGTATTAACAACCGTTAATTTGTTAAATGACTTTTAAGGATATCAATTATTTTTTTTGTTAATGATATTTGTACAACTACGGAAAAATGTATTTAAATTTTAAATCACCTCCCGAAAATTCAAATATTAAACCATTGTGAAAGTAAAATAAATCCTACTTAATGACCCTCGTAAAGCAAATATTTCCTCCACCTTCAAGACCTCATCCTCATTCCTCGGGCATCATAAAACTGGAGAGCAGAACCTCCTCTTGAATTTTTTTATTATGGGAAGAAGTTAGGGTTTGCAATCGTTGTCTTCAATTTTGTATTTCATCTTCGAGTTTGAAGATTTTTTATTTTGATGTTTAATTTCTAAATGCAAAATTTTTCTAAATAAATTTGTGTACTTTGAAATTATTGATTTTTAGTGGATTAGGGGAAAATGAATTAGAATGTTTGCTTCAGTTTCACAACATCAAAGAAAAAACTTTGCATTTAGGGCCCGTTTGGTATGATGTAAATTGAACACTTTGCGTGTAAAGTGGGGATGTAAACATTTTACACCATTTGTTTTAATTATTTGGTGTAAACTGTAGAACACTTTTTTAAAAACATTTTATACTGTACTATGTAAAACAGGGCCGACTCAATAGATTAGAAGACCCAGTGCAAATCACCTAAAATAGGCCTTATATTAAATAAATATAATATAAAAAGCAACCTTTAAAAAATAATCCAAAAAAAACTACAATCAAATGTGACATTGAGATATAATCATATTTCGAACCTGAACAACCAAAATCGGTAAAAAAAACTAATATCGAAAAGAAATGAATTAAAATCATGAACTAAAAAATATAGAGTAGGATATTACTGAAAAAAATACTCCATCCGTCTCTTAAAACCAAGCTCGTCCAACCTTGCACATTTATAATTAACAATTGCATTTTAATTACATAATAAATATTAGTATTTAATGTTTGTATTTAAAAACAAAATACTAAAATAGGAATCTTTAACCAAATAAAAAAGGATTTTGTATATAATGTAGACTATATTTAAAATTTGGGGCCTTCTGAATCCAGAGACCTTGTGCGGTAGCACTTCTTGCACGCCCTCATCTACGGCCCTGATGTAAAATACTTTACGTGGGGGAGGGTGATAAACTATTTTTCACTCATTAATACGAATATAAAAAACAATTTAATACCGAGAGAACTTCTTTACAATTCAAACTTCTTTACGATTGAAGACTAGCGGATGGCGGCAAAAGAAAATTTTGGCGGCTAAAAGCAGATTTCCCCTCCTATTTAAGAACACAAAGGTCATGTTTGATAAATGGCGTTTCAGCCAAATATTGGCGGGTTTGACCAAATTCGGCTTTTTTGACCCGTCAAAACGCCATTTTTAATTGTTTGCAAATGGCTTTTAAATTTGGCGTGTTGGCCCGAAACGCCAAAACATGAAACGCTAGGAATATAAGCGTTTATGTTCAGCGATTTCCAAAAAATTTAGAGCCCGTTTGGTAGCACGAAAACCGACTATTTTGGCTGATTCTGCTGAAATTTATGAATTTCTGGCTGAAGTGGCTGCAATGGCTGATTCTGCTGATTTAAGAAAAAAATATTTTGAAAATATATTTTATTGATAAAATAAAGAAAAATATATATGTAAAAATAGCTAAAATGGTCATCTACAGTAACTTCAGCCAATACAGCCAGAAAAGTAACTCCAATCTTACTTTTTCTGCTTATTACACAACTCAGCGCGGGAAAACAAAAGTTACGTATTTGGTGAAAAAGATGACTGATAAGCATGATAAGCCGAAAAACAGTGTTGACAAACGTAATGATTCTCATCCGTGCCCTTGCATCTCCTTCCAAGTTCCAACTCCGCGCAGATGACCTTTGCTTCTGAAGAAAACAATCGTCATGCGTGCTATCTCGGCTGAAACTTTCACCAGGTATGTTAATTGTTAAACTAATATGCAAACCTTTATGCCATGATTCGACCACAATACCCCACTATTCTGCATCTATGACCAACCTTCACTCTATTTTTCTTTCTTTTCTTTTGTATTAATCATATTCCCTCTAACTTTATCCAAATCAATACTCTCCTTTTCATGTTAATGTTCAATTCTTCGTATTTCTTGAGGGATTAAGCAAGTAGATTTTATTTGGGATTGACTTTATCCAAATCAGTCATTTCCTTTCCATGTTAAAGTACTTCGTGTTATGTGTGTATATATTCATATACACATCATATTAAACAACAGAGAAAGAAATCTTAAGATGTGCTAATGTATTTTTTCGTCTTTTTATCTAATAACCGCTAAAAGCAAACAACTAAGTTACAAACATTTTTCGCTAACTTGCCAAACTAATCCGCCGGTCAAACCAAAAGCTTTCTCAAGTATACATGCGGCGTAAATGCAGAAAAAGACTTCTGCTGATATTTTTCCTGGCGGAAGAAGAAGTGACACATGAAGAATATGAGCGCCAGGTGTAAGAGGGATATCGGCTAAATACTCAAACAGCCGTCTCCTAAACGTCAGGTTTACCGGCATTTTCTATTTTGGATGTTTGAAGCAAAAAGCTAAGTGAAAAAGTCAATTAACCAAACACCTCTATTAGCTGTTTATCTGGTCAAAAGGCCAAATAGTGGTCAAATCAGTCAAAAATTGGCTGATAGTCCACTAACCAAACACCCTCAATATAACCACCAAAGTATGTTTTTGCCCCAAAATTTAGCTTAGTGTCTTATTTGCTCTCTAAGATACTCCTTCCGTCCCCCAATTAAGTTCCCACTTTCCTTTTTGGGCAGTCCCTAAATTAAGTTCACACTTCAATATTTTCCTTATTTGGCAAATAATCTACATCAAAACAGTGCCAAACAGTGTCCAAACAGTGCCAAACAGTGTCCAAACAGTGTCAAACAGTGTCCAAACAGTGTCGAACAGTGTTTAAACAGTGCACTCCACAGTAAAGTCAAATTTATTTTCTTAATATGTGTGAAGTCAAACCGGGAACTTAATTGGGGGACGGAAGGAGTATATCTTAGTGGCCTGATAGTTCCTTAACATTTTAAAAAACTGTTAGCGCAAAATAAGACATTATTATTTCCACAATATTGATTATTATTTTTGAATGGTGATATGTTTTCTTCGGGACGGTTTTCAGTCCCAGACCAGACCACAACAGACTTAAACAAGCCAGACCAGACTTGGATAGTTCTAAAATATACAGAGACCAGACATTTACCAGAACAAACTGGACCAGTTCAGACTAGATCAGTAAATTTCAGTCCAAAAGAAAACAGCATGAGAATGCGTAAATAAATGTTTAAAATGCTGAAGTGGATTGGTGTATTGATAGAGTCCCGCTTCGTGTACACACTGGTTTACACGCTGGTCAAATTGTTTGTGTATAGAAAACTTGACCCGCGTTTTATGAAAAAAAACGATTTCAACACAGACAAAAATAAAAAGTTGTTTGTATCACAGACGTTTTAGACAAAGTTTTTTATAAAATGTTTGTGATACAGATAATTTTAAATAAGAATTTTAAAATGTCTATGATACGGACAAATTTTTTATTTTATCTGTGTGAAAATCTATTTTAAAACGCCGGTCACCTGTGTGTAAAAACAGTGGTGGATAAAGGGAATTTTCCATTGATAAAAATAAAAAGGGGATTAAGAAAATGAAATACGGAGTGCTACGTAAACATTTATGAATTGATGGAACAGTATGATGGTTGGCTGGGAAAGCGCCAGCAGGATCATAAGAGGGCGTGATGGATAGATGTTGATGATCCGCGGGCTCTTCAATCATCTATCGTCGCGAGCTGTCGCAGCATTAGCGCGTCGCCGGCCGGTATTACTCAGAAAGTTCATCGCCGCCGCAAACATGTTGGCGGTTCCGGGACAGAGTTGGGAGGTAGCGGCGGAGGAGATCATGATTCCAAGGTACAGCAGCAGCAGCGGCGGCGGCGGCAGAAGAGGAAGAGGGGTTGCGATTGTTTGGTTCAGGAATGATTTGAGGGTTTTGGACAATGAGGCTCTGTACGCAGCTTGGGTTTCGTCGGAGGCTGTATTGCCGGTGTACTGTGTGGATCCCACCCTCTTCTCTTCAACCACTCATTACTTTGGTTTCCCCAAAACCGGAGGTCAGTCGCTCGCTTGCTCCATTCAATAGATCAACTGCATTTTAACTGATCAACATCAGACATTTATCGGACCCATTTGGCTACAATTGTATCGTATGCCTACATCCCAACTTTAATTTCCATTTCAACCTATCAATTATTTTGTAAATGCATTTATATCTAACTACCTATTTTAATTTCTCTACCTATTTCATAATCTTTAAAAATTAATATTTCTAGCATTCTTACCTTTTAAATATCGCTACATAATTAATTTTTAAGTAATCTCAAAATCCGTTTATGCCTCTCAACCATCATATTCAAATAATCCGCTTTTTTCTTGATCCTGCATTAACGTATTACATATGCTTTTTAATCTTAAGATAATTCGGATTCATATTTTGATACCGAATTGTTCTAGCAAAAAATCTCATTAAATAATCTATGTCACTCAATGATAATTCTCTAAAAAAATGCCACTTCACTAATTTAATCTCTTAATAATCCTAGCAATGAGGATGCTCTCATAACCAAATGTTTAGTACGTCTACTACAAATGCGTTCTGAGCATCCACTGAAAATTTCTGAAATATATGTCTATTCTATGTGTAAAATTTTCACAACTAGATTACTTGTGTAGAATTCACCCGGTGGGGTGTCACAAGGGTAAGTATCCCGACAACTGTGATGAGAGGGTTAATATGTAAAAATGCATAGGCTCTCTACAAATACCTGAGTTAGAACCCCACCTGCTATCTTTCAGCTTGTGATTAAAGTCTAATTTACATCATTCCAGTTAACTATCAAGTCGTGTTGAGGAGTGCTCATAGATGGGGTGCCATACTTTTTTTTTTATGTAGAACTCACTACTGCACGTAGAATAAAATCATATCATGGTATAGTTCTTAACGGTACTGGTTACCCATTTTTTTGTTTTTATATATGAAAATGTTAAATTTCATTAAAATTAAAAAAGAATTTATTAAATTAGAAAACATTAAAAGTAAAAAACAAACAATTATGTTTAAAAATAAAGAAAATTTTAAATTTTAAAATATAATTGAATAAAGCATAAGTTGAATTCAAAACCTGTATTTCAAAATTTAAAAAAAAATATATAAATTTTTAATAATAAATCAGAAAAATGTAAAAATGTTTTACAATAGTAAACTGAAAATAATGCAAAACTAAAAATAAAAATACAAACGTTTTAATTAGTTAAAAATGTGCGAAAGTTGTAAAAAATTTAAATGCATTTTTGTGATGTAACTTTTATAAATTTGATATAATATCTATCAAAATATAATTATTGAAACATATAAAGAAATTTGAATGACTAGTTAAAAAATATGGTTAAGCATTTTAATAATCTGAAAATTATAAACAAAAATGTATAATTTAGTAAATATGTTTTGAAAGTATGAAAAACTAAAAAATCATAAATTTGTAACATAACATTTTTAAAATAGTCATAAAATTCAATTATTATGATTTTTTCTATTATTAGTATCACTTTATTGTTTGTTATGGTTGCCTATTGTTTCTTTTTGTTTATGATTTTTTTTTATTTCTTTATGTTTCTTGTTGTTGTTGACATTCCTAAATTCATACTACGTATGTCTCATTTTAGAAGATTGCATGAATATATATATATATATATATATATATGATTTTGTATTCCAAAGAAGTAACAAAGAGAGGTAAAAACCTAAACAAACAACAACAACATCCAAGCCTAAATCCCAAAATTTTTTGGGGTCGGCTAACATGAATCGATCCGTGATATCAATGCAAAAAAGAGAAGAAAGATAATAAGAAAAAAAATAAAATGGATAAGATAAAGATAAATATAAGATAACAACAACATAAGAACATAAAAAAGATAAATGATGCAATGATAAAAGAGCATAAAGAAGATAAAAGATAAAAATAACATAAGAACATATAAAGACAAAGAAGATAAAGATAAAAGAAAACCAAAGAGGAAAGATAAAAAGAGATTAATCGTCCACACGAATGTGCGCCCTCCACTTTGCTCTTTCTAAAGCCATACTCTCTTCCAATCCATAAAGACACATAACAGTTCTGTATCCTCTAATCCAAGTTTGTTTGAGTCTTCCTCTCCCTCTCCTCTGTGCCTCTTCTCCCCACCTCTCAAGTCGTCTAACAGGTGCATCACTCTGTCTTCTGGGCCGGTCTTCTGCGCCTGGCGGCTGAGGTAGATTAAGGCGCTTGGCCTGGCGCCCTTAATCAAGCTCTCAGGCACTCCCTTTTGAGCTCGGACTGCTTGAAAGGAATTTTCATTTGAGCCTTTCCCCCCTATACAAACACACACATATAAATAGTGACATTCCATATTCCTACTACTAAGGCCCAATCCCAAGCATAAACTAATTATAGGTAATACAAATCCAATAGAACATAGTTGAGAAATGTGCTACATGAGATCCCTTGAGGATTAAATGACTGGTAATTATCTTTTAAGTAAGAAAGAACCATTTGTAATAAACTCTATTGAATTGCGGTGTAAATAATATTCCCAGATATTTCAAGAGTGTTTTGTTTCGCAGTCTTGAGGGCGCAATTCATCGTAGAGTCATTGGGTGATTTGAAAAGGAATTTGATGTTACGGGGTCTTAACCTATTAATTCAGCATGGGAAACCTGAAGATATTCTACCCTCACTTGCAAAGGCATATAATGCGCATACAGTTAAGGGATCTCCAGACTAGTCTTCTTTGTGGTACTAGTTTATGGTAATTCTTGATTCAAATAGTCTTTATATACACAACAAATTTCCGCGCTTATTGTGACAGGTTTATGCCCAAAAGGAGTCATGCAGTGAGGAGCTGAGTGTTGAAAGGGCGGTCTCCAAAAACTTGGAAGCTGCCATTCAACCGTTTTCAAAATCTCAGAATGCAACCCGGTTAGAACTGCTGTGGGGATGCACTATGTACCATATAGATGACCTTCCATTCAACTGCAAGGACTTGCCAGATGTATTTACCCAGTTCCGTAAGGTACTTGTCCTTTATTTCTTTGTGGTAAACTTTATCCAATGTTTTCATCATGAGAAAAGACTTGATATATCTAAGGCGGATGATGAATTGATGATTACAGTCGGTTGAATCAAAATCTGTAATTCGAAATTGCGTAAAGATTCCTACATCACTTGGTCCCTCTCCCAATGTTGTAGAGTGGGGATCCTTTTCTGAAGTTACCCAGCTCGGGCTCCAGCCATACAAGGCAGGTTATTCTTTTTATATTGATAAGAAGAAACAAGGGTTTCTTTAGGGCGGGTGATTAGATGGAGGGGAAGATCTTTGATGGTGTAGTGTATATTTCAATGAATAGATTGTTTGTATAAAAGGGAATAAAAGGTGATTCAAATGCTATAGATCACACATTCTGTTGATCTTTCATTTTTTTCCTAGACTCTCAAATGTATATCATATCAAAATATAGACCAAGCCATCTAGTCCCATCCATCCAAAGAGACCTTTAGTATTTAGTATATACTGCGCTAAGATCCAATTTACAGGTATCTAAAGGGTTGAAGTTTATAGGTGGTGAAACTGCTGCTCTTGGTAGGGTACATGAGTATTTCTGGAAGAAGGCAAGGAACTTTATCTTCTATCTATGTTTTCTTTTGAGAAGATACAAGTAATCAACCGTGCCTCCTGAAATAGTTGTATCTTTTATTGTATACTGTAGAATTGCATATATCCTCTTCTTAACCAAAAATAATTCGTAGTAATTGATTTCTTACTTGCTTTTTAATAGGTTGTGCTGAAAATAAAACATCCTAATATTTTATACAATTTTGCAACAGGATATGCTACAAATGTACAAAGAAACAAGAAATGGAATGCTAGGACCTGATTATTCAACTAAACTCTCCCCTTGGCTTGCTTCCGGGTGCCTCTCTCCTCGCCTGATTTATGCTGAAGTACAAAATCTTGTCTTATCTTTTGAATGTTTTACTTAATTTCCTACACTTTTTTTGACAAGGTATCTTCACACTTTTCTGGTGATAAGATGCTCATATTTGGTTATATTTGAATTTGATTTTTAAAGGTCAAGAGATATGAAAAGGAGAGACTATCAAATATGTCAACATATTGGTATCTAATACCTCCTTTTCTCCCTCCTCTCTGTCACGTATTTGCATGATAGCTCTTTCCTGTGAAGAGTAAGATATAATAATTTGAGGAAGTATCTTTAGCATTTCCATGCCCAGACATTAACTATCTTTTTAGAGAAAGAACTTTATGCATTATTTGCAAAATGTGTTCAATTTACCACTGCTAAGAGGTATTCCTATTCCAGGGTTTTATTTGAGCTGATATGGAGGGATTACTTCAGATTTCTTTCAATAAAAGTGGGAAATTCACTCTTCCATCCAGGTAAATCAGTTTTGGGGGAGCCAGGGGCTGGGCTGGGAATTTCTGTGTTCTCATAAATTGAAGGGGAATTTCTTATTTTCTTTGAACAGTCCCATAATAACTTTGTTATAAACTTATGGACGGAAGCTTTTTCGTTCTCTTCTGGTAACTGCACATGCACATATCTTAATGCGAAAGAAACATTCATGATGGGCCCCTCTACGAAACAATGACCAAAATATTACTTCTAGAGGTTCAGTGGACAAAATATGACTTTAATAATCTCCAACCCCAAATCTATCTCAGTCACTCTTCTCTCTACTCTCACCAACTTCTCTTCCACCATCTACCTAAAATACGATCCGCAGCCGATTAGGGGCATAGCCAGACTTTAGTATGAGGGGGGCGGAGTATAATCTATGTTTAAAGAACCGGACCGGGTGGCGACTCGGACAAATGATCGGGTCAAGGGTCAACCCGGTCAAACCCGATAAACCTTGTCAACACAATATTTATATATACATGATTAAATTTGTAAGAATAAAAATATTTTCATTCCTCATTAATAAAATATTATTATCTAGTATACAATTTTTAAGTAAACCATGAATGTATTTGAAATTAGAGAAACAAAAAAATAAACATAAAATTAATCATATATCTTAAAAATCTTGCACAAGTATGTTTTTCACTTGTATTTGCAGTATTATACTTATCAAGCAGTATATAATAACAATATTATGTATTATTAGTTTTCATATTATTACTATTATTAATAATTTACCAACAAAGTAGGTTTAAGATGTAATATAATGATAATAAGTCAAGGATAAGTATTCTGAAGAAGCAATAGATTCCAACGGGTACGAGTGGCAGATTTGGTAGTACTAGAGTGTTCCATAATTTTATGGGGGGGGGGTTGTAATAGTAGTATTTTTATTAAATAAAAATAAAAAACTGGGAGGGGCCATGGCCCCCTTACTCATTAACGTAGCTCCGCCCCTGCAACCGATGGATAGTTTCAAGGGAACAATCGCTGGACTGTGCTATAGTGGCAGGTGGGGCTGTGTCACTGAGTTTGAGGTGACGACAGTGAGGCGGTGACAGTGAAGGATTGTGGCAGTGTCACCGGGGTTGGAGTGGTGGTACAGATGGGTTGGACATGTAGCTTATTATGAAATGTGACATATTCAGTCACTTTTTAAAATATTTAAAAGTAATCATAATTTTGTCTTAAACTTTTCCTTTAAAATTAATAATATGGTTATCTTGAGTTTTGCCTTTAGTAATATACAAGTCAAAACTCCTATATCAATCTCATTTGTAGCTCCTCTTGTATTGGCATTAGGTGGACCTCGTAAGTTAACCTTTAATTGGAGGAAAGACCAGAAGTTATTTGATGCTTGGAGAAATGGTCAGACTGGGTACACTCTCTTTCCCGAAAATACATGGAATCCTTTTGAATCTATCCAGTAGTCCAATTTGTATCCCATTTTTTAATTTTGTTCTCACTTTTATTTGCTCCAATCATCTCCCTTTTTTCATTTAATTCACATGAATAAACACTATGCAACAAGTAATTCTCGTTAGTTTTGCAAAGAGATATGAGAACTAGAACAACTATGAATGGTGGTTTAGAAATTAATTAATCTCTTTTTTCCGTTATAAGAAGGTTGTGACATAAAAGGCTTGTGATGTAATTTTTTAATGAATTTGTAGTGTTAAGTGTTAACTACCTGCAGACATTAAATTGACATTAAGATCCTTGATACCAACTCGAAGTAGTGGCGGTGGTTGTTTTAAGTCTAACAAAATTTGCATAAACACAATTTCAGGTACCCTCTCATAGATGCCAATATGAAAGAACTTTCTACTACAGGATTCATGTCAAATCGAGGTCGTCAGGTAGTTTGCGTTTTATATAGCAAGTATATAGGGGTAATAAGTTATTAGATCAAAACATGAAACAACCTTTGGAAAATAATCCCTGTTTAAAGGTTAAAGTAAGTATCATTTACTGCTGAACAGCAGATATCCGTTTATTATGGAACTCTCTCACATATTTTCATTTGACAGATTGTTTGTTCTTTTCTTGTTCGGGATATGGGCATTGACTGGAGAATGGGAGCTGAGTGGTTTGAGACATGCCTCTTGGATTATGATCCATGCTCCAATTATGGTAACTGGTCTTACGGCGCAGGTAATTAACATCTTAACTACCAGAACATAGTTATGTTCAGAATGTGGTAATTCTTAACCTTCTTTGGAAGAAATGATTCTTCAAATGAGTTCAGATAAACAACCAAACTTAACATCAAGAGCATCACTTATCCTAGAGATGTGTTTGGTAACAGATAGATATAAAATATGAAAACACTGGCTTCATCCATGCACACACAAAAATGCGTTTCAAAACTTTTCTTGTTCCATAGAAGTCATATTTCAACAAATGAAGGCTTCTCGTAATTTAGCCAAACTTTTCTTGTTCCATAGAAGCCTTCAACAAATGAAGGCTTCTCGTAATTAGAAGATAACTGCGTTTTATATGTATATAAAGGGTGCAGTTATCTTCCAAAAATCATTTGACTGCCTTCCCGATTGAATTTTTCGCTGAAATTTGGTATGGATGTACTAGACTTGATGAAGAACATGCTCAAAAAAATTCATCGAAAAAATCCACCGGGAAGGCCCTCAAAACGTGGAGGCCGCACGGCGGCTCCGGTAAGGTATACCTTACCGGAAGAGTTCCCTATATATATATTGGTTCAGATAAGAACAAGTCTTAATGTAAGAAGTGAGAACAAATCACAGCCATCCGTTAACAACTTCCGGCCTGGACTAACTTAAGCTAAAAGAAAGCTATTAATGTCTATAAATCTTAAGCCATTTTTATAACCTAAGCTTGTAGTTAATATATTCATTCGGTCCACTATTGTAAACAATAAATAAAGAAGTTGCTTTTCCATTTAGAGAATTTCTTGCATGATTTTATGGAAAGTTTGTTACAGAGCAATAAAGAAAATGAAAGAAAATAGCATTCACTTTTTTTAATTTTTGCTTCATCTTCTTCTTCATTTTAATGCTTGTCGTTCTTATTTTGCTTTTTCTTCATATTGGTTTTTATTTTTTTAATCACTACATCAATTTTATATTTTTCATGTGTAATTATCATTATAATTCATAATATCTTAATCACTACTACATTAATCTGGTGCAAATGATTGTAAACTGCCTGAATCCTCATCTAAAAAATCTAACGACGTGGCTTATGCACAATTCAAGCACTACTCGCACTACTATCTCATTCAAATGCACATTTACGCTTATTTTTCACTTTCTGCGCAACGAATGAGTATCCGTTACACATTCATAGTTTTCATATGTTCAACATACTTTACGTCTTAACATTTGCATATTTTGTTCACTCATATGCATCCGTACAATTGACTACTACATTATTGTATTACTCAAATGCACTATTTCGGGTTGTGTGTTAGATATTGGTTATTGTGCATGATGTATTTGTTGTAATTCTCTATAGTTCATGTGTATTATATAATAGTTTAAATTATATGAAATCCTTATGCATTCGATATTAGTGAGGGTGTGTGTATATAAATATAAATTATATATAGTTTGAACCCTCCCGTGTGTTATATATATATATATATATATATATATATATATATATATATATATATAGAGAGAGAGAGAGAGAGAGAGAGAGAGAGAGAGAGAGAGAGAGACAACTTCATGTCCAGCCGGCCTGACGGGAACCGCCGTCCGGCCGAGGACATTTGGGGCACTTCCTGATCGAATTTTTTGATGAAATTTTTTGAGCATGTTCCTCATCAAGTCTAGTTTATCCATACCAAATTTCAGCTCAAAATTCGATCGGGAAGGCATTCAAATAATTCGATCGGGAAGGCATTCAAACATAACAGCGTTTTATATGTTTAATTTGGAGCAGTTATCTTTAAAAAATTATTTGACTGCCTTCCCGATCGAATTTTTATCTGAAATTTTTTGTGGATAAACTAGACTTGATGAGGAACATTCCATAAAAATTTCATCAAAAAACTCCACCGGGAACCGCCCCAAACGGCGGCGGCCGGACGGAAGATCCTGTCCCTCCGGCTGGACAGGATCATTCCTATATATATATATATATATATATATATATATATATATATATATATATATATATGGCGGATAAGCAAAGTGTATACAATCAAGATAATTATTTTAAACAAAATTTTTAAGCTACATAACTTCCGAAAAGGCAACAAGTATTACAAGCCCGTTTAATAACACTGAAATTTATTGAATTGATTGAATCTGTTAAAATTCACGAAATCCTGGTTGAATCTATTGAGTTATTGAAAAATTATTGATAAGAGTATTAATCTTAGAGAGAAATGAGAGCTAGAGAGAGAAAGTGAGCAATTAATATTTCTCAAGTCCCTATAACTATCCCTAGGGGGCTATTTATAGGGAAAATGTGGATTTGGGCTCCCAAGCCACGAGCTTAGGAGGCCCATTACAATAATATGGCCTCTAATGGGCTAAGTATATGATTTATTTGACCAAGTATAAAATATCATTCTGCCAGAGTATTTTTGGCTGATGGATGACCTGACAGACGGAGTGCCTGGTCGACGGATGACCAATTTTGCTCCAGGGCTTCGGGGCTGTATTCTGAGCACTTTTGGTTTCGGTCGATGGAGTGCCATCTAACAGACGAAGGACCACGTGGGTGCCAACAGTGCTTGTATAAATCTTCTGAGTATGTGGGCCATGGGGTCTGGACCCATATACTCTATCAATTATATTAAAAAAATATGTTATTAATAAAATGAAGAAGAATTATATGAAAATAGCTAAAATTATCTTCTAGAATAACTTCTAATCCAGTTAGAAAAGAAATTTGAACCTTACTTATTTTGACAATTATACAATTCAACGCATGAAATCGAAAGTTGCGTGTTTGGTAGAAAAGTTGACTGATAAGGCTGATAATCTGGAAATCAGGATTACCAAACAAGGCTTATGTTTCCTTATTTTTCATATAATACAAGACGGCATATAAACTTATTCTAATTCAAAATTTGGAGAACATTATCCTTACAAAGTGGTTTCTCGAGATGCCAATGTCCTTTATGCTAAATTATACATGTTCTTCTCAATAGGCTAGGTTTGTCATTGTAATGATGTTTTTGTTTTTGTCTCCCCACCTCCCACTTAGGTGTTGGAAATGACCCAAGAGAGGATCGTTACTTCAGCATTCCTAAGCAAGTAAGTGCCTAAATATTTTAACTATCCTTTTGAGAGGAAATATCGATTTTCGCTCTCATGTTTAGCAAAGTTCTGTGCTCATACTGATTAGTAACCAATGGTTAGAGGTGATTACCAAATCGCTGAGATTCTTAAGCCTAGTTAGTTTTTTTGCGTTTTAAATGCGTACTGTTTTTGAACAATAAATACGTTTAAAACGAAAAATAATGTCCATCCATTTAAAAAGGAAAAAACCTCTAGCTTCCCGTATAAGACGTATTTTTCATGTATTTTACAAAAAAAGAAACATGAATTGATCAATTGAATGAACGCATTAAATGCATAGGAGATGAACAATAGTTTAAAAGCAAAAAAGTAAAGCGCCTCCTTGTGGCCCTGTATTTTTGTATTGTTACAATACAATAATTAAATACTAAAATTAATTGCATGACGGGTAAAGCTAACATCCCATATTTTACAAAAAATAAACACATGAATTGATCAATTGAATGAACACATTAAATGCATAGGAGATCAACAATAGTTTAAAAGCAAAAAAGAAAAGCTCCTCCCCGTGACCCCATGTTTTTGTATTGGTACAATACAATTATTAAATACTGAAATTAATTGCGAGCATGATAGCTAGCATCCTAAAAGACTAAAACTTAAAATACTACTAATGTTTTTCCAAACAAGCATATCAAAAATAAAGTTTTTTTTAACCCGAACATTTTTTAATATAAACTTTTACACATAAGTAATAATAACCCTGAGTAGCAGTGACACAACTTTTCTCATATATCATCCGTCATCCTGATGAAAATGATGAATTTAAATTGAATGTTATTTGATGATCATATAAAGATAATGACTGTAACTTAGTCTCATTCTATTGTTATTATGTTTTTTGTTAACATTAGTTTGCACAATTATGTCTTGGACTTAATTACTATTTTTATTTTTGTCATCGACTTATGCAAGTACGAATTATTCTTTTATTTTATTTTGTGAAGTACATAATTTAAATGTTCAAAATAATATCCCGTTTTTTTTCTGAATTTTTGTAACAGATACCGTATTATACCCATATATGTATTTACACGTTTTTTAAAAGCCAACGTTGTTTTCAACAAAATTTTGACCGTTTTTTCATTAATGTTACCGAATAAAACATGTACGTATTAAACTTCATTTAATTCCCGTACCGTTTTTTAACTAACTAGGTTGTCAAGTGTTGCTGTTGAAGCATGAGACTTTTTCATAGAAGCATCCTGATTATTTTAGATTGTTCTAGAGAATCTTTATTAAGTTGGTCCAGCAACATAGAATACAAAAGGATGAGTCTCTTAGACTTCTTGTATTAATTAGAGTCTTAACATATTCCTGGAGGTCTAGAATTATCTATCTAAACTATAAATAAGGTCACACTGTTGGAGCTAGTTGGATCGTTGCTCGCACATGAACAAAAGTTCAAGCACCAGTCCGAGGTGGTTCCATTGAGGATGCTTTTCAGTCCAAGCATAAGCCAAAGACTTTGGAGCCTAAAGGGAGCAATAATTACTTGAAGAAGAAAGGTAGTTCTACAGATTTTGGAGGTGGCTATAAAAACAGGCTGCTCAATCAAGGGGAAAATTCCCTCCTTGTGGCACATGCGGAAAGATAAATCATGCCGAAAAGGTTTGTTATTTCAAAGGTAAACCTCAATGGCGTTACTGCAAGAGGTTTGGTCATATTGAGAAGCAGTGTAGACAGAAACAAATGGAGTCCAAAACAGAAGCTCATTTTTCAAGTAGCAATCAATATGAATATCTCTTCTATGCGCGCCAAGCAATAGCCCCCAACAATAAGAGATGGTTAATTGATAGTGGTTGTACAAATCACATGACAAATGATTCCAGCATCTTTTGCAAACTGGACACTTCTGTCCAAACTCCAGTTCGCATGGGAAATGGTGAAGTTGTGAAATCTAAAGGTAGGGGAACAGTAGCTATTGCAACAAAGAGAGGTACGAAGTATATTAATGATGTGCTTCTTGTCCCGGATCTTGCTGAAAACTTGCTTAGTGTGGCACAAATGATAAAAAATGGTTATTCACTTGCTTTTAAGAATGACCATTGCACCATATATGATCCCGATAGAAAGGAGATTGCTAAAGTTATGGTGGAGAACAAAAGTTTCATCCAATGGAATTTTTATCCATTTTTGTATACCAATGGAATTTTTACTGGATGCTGATGACCTTGGCCATAGTCCACCGCTAAGAGTGATTCTCAATCTTCTTCAAGAATACAAGGATCACTGGCACTTTTTATTGGTGCAGTCATTCAAAATCCAGTTCAAGTTTTCAAGCTTGAGGGCAAGTTTGATTTTCCAGGAGGGGTGTAATGATGCATGCTACTATATAATATTATGGAAAGATAAACAGAGCAATCAAGTAGAATAATGAGGAGTAATATCTGATTGATTTGCTTGATTGAGTTTATTATTATTTGATTTTGATACCTTCATTATTTAATCTATTTTAGGAAGTGATTTTCTAGGATTTCCCTTCCCTTGTTATCTGCATGTAATCCCTCTTATAGAGCTTTGTTATGCTAATAAGATATCGAAGAAAAATTAAGAAGAAACCAAGGAGAAGGAAAACTCCCCAAATTTCCACATCCCCTATCCATTTATCATTTTTATTTTATTCCCGTGACGCAAAGAATCCCGGTACATAACAATGTGTCTCCAGTGGTTGCTCTATTTGATGCCTCCTCTGCGTAGCTCCACTTTAGGGAGAAACTTTTGTTCTCCACCATAACTTTAGCAATCTCCTTTCTATCCAGTAAAAATTCCATTGGTATACAAACTAGGACAGGCTTAGTGGACAAAAATGGATCGGGGAAGTCAAAGAAGTTTGTTCTGGGTAGTTTATTGGGTAGGGCAGTCTGCAATATGGGTGTTGCAAATATGGGTGTTGCACACAACGCTGGCTCTAGAAGATGTTGTGTTGGAAGCAACGCTGACGGCGGTTGAGACAGAAATTCTGCAGATGAAGTGTTTAGTGACGGCGGTTGAGGCAGAAATTCATCTCCTCCCAAGGAGTCAACTGATTCGGAAAGGTTGGCAACATGGTTAGAAAGTTTCTGAAGTGACTCCTTTAATGGTGGCAATGCTTCTTGCACCTTTTGCACTGTAATTTCCAGATTGCGAAGATGCCCTTCGCTTATCAGTTTGTGTAACTCCTTCTGTATCTCTAAGAGGAGTGTGTACTGATCTGCAGGAAGTGTGAAATTTCCCATGACGCCGGCAACAGAACCAAAATGTTATGTACCGGGATTCTTTGCGTCACGGGAATAAAATAAAAATGATAAATGGATAGGGGATGTGGAAATTTGGGGAGTTTTCCTTCTCCTTGGTTTCTTCTTAATTTTTCTTCGATATCTTATTAGCATAACAAAGCTCCCTTTTATAAGAGGGATTGCATGCAGATAACAAGGGAAGGGATGTCCTAGAAAATCACTTCCTAAAATAGATTAAATAATGAAGGTATCAAAATCAAATAATAATAAACTCAATCAAGCAAATCAATCAGATATTACTCCTCATTATTCTACTTGATTGCTCTGTTTATCTTTCCATAATATTATATAGTAGCATGCATCACACATGGCTATGGCATAGAAGGTATGGGCATTTCAACTTGCGTGCACTAGCTGACCTTCACAAGCATAATGTTGTGCGAGATTTTCCTTCAATTCACATCACTAAAGCGCTATGTGAGCCATGCCAACCTGGAAAGCAACACCGACTACCATTTCCAAGAGGACAAACATGGAGAGCAAAGGAAAAATTGGAGCTTGTTCACACGAATGTATGTGGTCCTCAAAGAACATTGTCTCTTCACAAAAACAGATACTTCATCTTGTTTATTGATGACTTTACTTGAATGACTTGGGGGTACTTCATGAAAGAAAAATCAGAAGTTTTCCAAGTCTTCAAGAAATTTAAGGCACTAGCTGAAAACCAATGTGGCTCCAAACTGAAGATGTTAAGATCTGACAGAAGAAAGGAGTATACTTCAACAGAATTTGATGAGTTTTGTAAAGATGAAGGCGTGGAACATCAGCTTACAGTTGGGTATACGCCTCAACAGAATGGAGTTTCGGAAAGAAAAAACAGAACTGTTATGGAAATGGCAAGATGTATGCTGGCAGAAAAGAAAATGCCAAAGAAATTTTGGGCAGATGCTGTTTATACCTCCGTATACTTGCTTAATAGACTAAATACAAAGGCAATTCAAGGTAAAACTCCTATAGAACATAGAAGCTTGGAGCGGGAAAAAGCCTACAGCGAAGCATCTAAAGGTGTTTGGTTCAATCTGTTATGCTCATATTCCAACTCAAAAAAGGGGCAAACTTGATGAAAAGGCAGAGAAAGGGGTCTTTGTTGGCTATGATTCCAAGTCAAAAGGCTATAGGATCTTCAACCTTGAATCAGAGAAGATCGTGGTCAGCAGAGATGTGGAATTTGACGAAGACGCGATCTGAAATTGGGAAGAGAAGAAGGTTGAAAGAAGAGTGACATTACTCTCCCATTCTAATGAGCAACAGGGATCGGAATGTGATACCAATGCTGGCATCGGAATGTGATACCAATGCTGGCAGTGATCTGAATTCAGAGCCTCACACACCACCTTCATCTTCTGGGCAGGGAGAATCACTATCTTCGAATGAAAATTCAGAAAATGCTTCAGGCCCTCGTGGTAAGAGGTCACTCTCTGCAATATATAGTGACTGCCCTATCATCCATTTAGATCCAGAGTGTGAGAGATGTTACTTTGCCATTGAAGTGCCAAGAGACTATAATGATGCGGTCAAACATAAGGAATGACAGGATGCTATGGAAACAGAGATCAGCATGATAAAGAAGAACAAAACATGGGAGTTAGTTGACAAGCCTGTAGATCGAAAGGTGATTGGCGTGAAATGGATCTACAAAACCAAATTAAATCCTGATGGATCTATTAATAAACACAAGGCCAGGCTAGTTGTAAAAGGATACTCCCAACAAGCCGGAATCGATTATGGAGATACATTTGCTCCGGTTGCCAGACACGACACTGTCCGGACCCTCATTGCTCTAGCTGCGCAAGAAAGGTGGAAAATATTTCAGCTTGATGTTAAATCTGCCTTTCTCAATAGAGAACTCGAGGAGGAGATTTACATTGAGTAACCACCAGGATTTGTCAAGAGAGGAGAAGAAGAGAAGGTGTGTAAATTGAGAAAGGCTTTATATGGCTTAAAACAAGCCCCGCGAGCATGGTACAACAACATAGAATACAAAAGGATGAGTCTCTTAGACTTCTTGTATTAATTAGAGTCTTAACATATTCCTGGAGGTCTAGAATAATCTATCTAAACTATAAATAAGGTGCTGGCAGTCAGTTCTATGTATCAAAAAATTCATCAATAATATTTCTCACATATTTCCCATTCTCCCTTGCTTTCATACTACAAACTAACAGTTGCACCTGCTGTGTGACTGAAGAGCTTTTGAAATCATCATCATTACCCCAGTGCCACAAAGGCCCCCACCTACGGTGGGATCAGATGTACGCAGTCTTACTCCGGTATTAAAGCACAATGAGACCGTTTCCGGATGACCCATAGTGAAAATTGCATGGGCTAACTACTCTTTCATAATAAAGAAGTGCAGACAGTTTAGTAAGCCATTTTGCTTTATTCGTTCCAATTCCCAAGCAAAAAATAGTGAGTCTTTGACTGAAGAGCTTTTGAAAATAAAAGAAAATCCAAGAAATGTTGCATATTATATGCACACACCGATAATGTACACCATTTCACTGTAGAAGTGGACCTTTTAATTTGTTCTCTCAAGTAGGAATACCGAATAAGTCCCGAGGTTTCAAAATGGATTGAGGATTGACTGATTAAGCAGCGAGTCCTACGGTTACACCGCCTCGAGCAATCAAAACCAAGTTGAGTATCGTTTGGTCTGGTCTAAAATATTGAGGCTGAGTGGCTGACTATGGCCTTAGATGATTAGGCGGGGACTGGTCTCCAACATTTCAAAATGACGATCAAAACAGTACAAATTATTGCAAAGTTTGGTCATCATCCTCATCGCTGTGTGTTTGTTTTGACTGATGTTGTGTGTCAGGCAGAAAACTATGATCCGGAAGGGGACTTTGTAGCTTATTGGTTGCCAGAGCTAAGAGCAGTCCCAAAAGAGAAGAGACATTCCCCTGGTCTTTTGGGCGTCCAGCCAGTTGTTCCTCTCAGGCATGGACGACGCACCAGCAAATCCAACAATAATAGGGCTGGAGCAGCTAACACGGTAAACAAATAGAACAAGGGTCATTGAGAATGAAGAGCTTTTCATTTCATGCTACCCAACCCATGTTCACACACACGCTCTCTCTCACTCTCATTAGTGTGTGACAGTTGATCAAACGACTCTACTTGCATGGTAACATGAAATGGACCTGAATGGGGTGATTAATGAGACCCCAGCAGAATTCTTTTTACAGTGATGATTTCACACAATTGATTATTAAGGGTTTTCAACGATTGTGCACATTATTTATTATTGAAAAAACTGTCAAATAAGTCTTGTATAATAATTAAAAAAATGGTCTATCAAATTACTTGATCAACCCCTCAAACTATAAAATACACCCAATTTGACTTTTTATCAGTAAAACAACCATAAATAGGTTAATTTGCACACTGGCTAGTTTTGCATTTCTCTTTGGAAAAAGGGTCAAATAAGTCTTTCTACTTTTTCGAAACAATCACATAGACCCTTGTACAAAAATAAGCATCATATAGATACACTTACTCACTAAAAATGATCAATTGGACCAATATGACTTGTAATGACTTGTTGCAGCAGGTAAAAGATCTTTGTTCAAATCCATTCATACTCATGGATGTACCAGCTCGTATGTAGTTTTTTTTTTATTTTCTTTTTCTATATGGCCTATATCTTTCATATATACGTATAGTAGTAGTACGTACTCCGTATCAATTCTCTTTCCTTTTCTACGGAGTATTTTAAAATCGTTACGTATTCTTTTAATCTTTTTTTATCCTTAAATGAAAATGAAATGAAAAATGATAATCTTTTCATATTTACGTATAGAGTACTCCGTATAAATTTTCTTTCGATTCTGTTTTTTTTTTATTTTTCTGTTTTGCTTCAAAAATAAAAATTGATGCAGCTCCACAATATTTTTCCCTTTTATTTTCATTTTCAAATCTCTGCCACAATAAAAATGTTTCGAATAAGAGAAAAAATTGTATAATTTTATACAATATTCAATAAGGTTAAGTAAAGTAAGATTATAGAAAAATGTCGATAGAAAGATCTAATTTTATAACCAATAGATGTTTGGTCAGAGAAAAAATGTTTCAGGCGGAGTTTTAAATTATATATTTTTATACACATTTTCAAAGTGTAATTAATAAGTATATTTCTAATTAGATTGAAATTTTCAGTTCTAGTTTGGTCTGAAGTAATACAGTGTGGAAGATATCTATTTTATGTATGTATAATAATAATTATTATAATTATTGTGATTATTATTATTATATTATTATTATTATATTATAATTATTATAATTTCTGAGACTGATATCGGTCCAATTAAAAACATCCTGAATGTATGAAGATTTCCTAATTTGGATTAGGAATCTAATTCAAAAGTGAAAGAATATTTAAATTGTAGATGTGAAAATAAAGAAACAATTAAACATATTTATTTTTTGGCTGAGCTAAACGTATTTACTTGTAAAAATATATACATTTATATGTATGATATGAATTTTCATCCTAATAAAGGTTAGCTACTTGATTAGAAGTTTTAAATGTTTTCATATATGAATGTCTAATAGTATATCAATTTTATTTTTAAGTTAAAAAATCTTGTGGTTATAATTTTCATCTCTATCTCAACAACCAAGAAAGAATGGTATGAAGATGCAGCAAAATACGAAGTATTAATGCAATTGAAAATCTAAGGCTTATAATTTTAGTAATTATCACATTGAGTTTAGAACACATTCAAAAAAAGATTGAGTTTAGAAAAATAAATTATTACATTTTAGGAAATGGAACACTATTATTACTTTTTTTATTTTTATAAAATAACTTTGAAGAACAAAATTAATAGGAATCTGAATTATTTATCTATTACGTGGGCACAACACGGATAAATCATTTTTCAATAGAATGTAATAAAAGGTATAAAAAATAATTAAATAATTAATATAAAACATATTCTATGTGTACGGATGATTGTTTATTATTGTTGTGGTTCAAATTGCTTAATTTAATAACTATCCAAATTAATACGGAGTAAGTAATAAGTTCTTAAAAATTTACCAAATAAGGTGGATTCTACCCTACAGTCTTTTGTTTCCATATCAATATACAATTGTTGGGTTAATGGCCCAGGCTGAGGACCGGCCCATTTACCTTTTCTTCCGGACGTACGTCCAGGTAAGATCGCTGAGATAGCGCGGCAAGCCCATCTCATCCAGGATGGACGAACATCTTCAGATGGGGTTCAGTCTCAACAGCCCACCTCGACGAACGTCCATGCAGGGACAAGGAGCAGAACTACGGGCCACCTGAATGGCGACGGACGTCGTCAGAGCGAGCCCATAGTCATTGGAGGCAGTCCAGCCCACAGGGCGAGAATCCACAAGGGCCAGGGGATGAACGGCCGATACCCCTTGGAGGCCACCTGGAGCAATCCAGCTCGCTCCCCTGGTAGGCGAACGTCCCCACTAATTAGGCGGGAAACCTAGATTCTGGCGGGAAGTGCATTTAATGCTGAAGATTTGGTGGTTGGGACTCCAGCGGTCCACAGGCTGCCACGTCAGTGTGGCCACCTGCCCATTGGTGGGTATAAATAGAAGCATTTATTTCATTGTAAAGGGTTGGCAACTTTCTATTCTTAGCATTTTAGCTATAGCATTCTTACTCGCAGCACTTCTACTGCCTTGTAAGACGAACGGCCGACGGAGACTTAGCGAAAAATATTGTATTAGGGAGTTATTAAGAGATAATAATACCTAATCACTTACTTGCTATTTTTATTGTTCTCCTTGATTCTTATTACTTGCTAGTTGGGCTAGTTTATTCACACATACTCCACTCGAGATCCTTGGGCTTACGTGTTGAACCCGAGGGTTGAAGGAATTAACCTCAACAACAATAAAAATAGAATGTAATAAAAAAATAAAAGGTATAAAGGTAATTAAATAATTGTTATATATGATGACATTGCAAGATTATGTAGCACATCGTATATTCTTAAAAAGTTCATCTTTATATATATATATATATATATATATATATATTGATTATTATAAGCAAAATTAGCCTTATAAGTTTTCATGCCATCCAATAAAAATGATTACATCCCTACACTTTACATGCAATGAGTTTGCATGTAAAGTTTTAATGTGCAAACAACCAAAGGCAAAAGAAAGAAAGAAAATGGAAAGAGAAAACGATACAGAAGAAGAAAGATTGAATGCTAGTCAAGAGGTTGAGAATTAATAGACCGTAGTTCCGTAGGATATACCTTTCTTTGCCTATGGACGATGGATGACTGTAGTTGGCCAAACACAGAGATGAATTTGCTGCCAAACTTGCTGATTCAATGAATTACTTCAATGATCTCTGGAGAAGATGGCCCAAGACATCCGAATCAACAATCTCAGCCCCTATTTTTCCGGCAACTTCACAATAGTCCTGAACCTCCACTCCAACTTGTAACCATCCCGCTAGAGACGGATTCAGGATTTAGTGTCAAGGGAAGCGAAAATTTTAATTAGTGTTGGGGGTGAATTTTTTTTCACAAATGTAGCGGGGCGAAATATTTTCGCTAGTGTAGGACTCTGCGGCTATTTTTATTTTAAAAAAAAATCATTGATACTTGCACGTAGACATTTAAATATACTACATTCTAAGTTATTACAATGGCAAAATAACTAAGATTTTATAATTGAAGTACTCTAGAAACAAGTATTGATACATTATAGCGTAAAAAATGGCAATTAAAGGAAAATAATTTGAAAATAAAAAAGGATATATAACATTCTATCCAATTATTTGAAGATAAAGAGTTTAATAGGTACACATCTATCAATACTTTTTAAATAACTTCTACATTGTTTAAATAACTTCTACATTGATTTTTGAATTTGAATTGCGATTTTTGTCTATCATTTAATATATATTTCACAAATCGAGTCATGTAAGTTGACAAACTAGTTAATGTGGAGTGAAAATATAAAGTACAACAATTATACATTTTCTTTGTATTTCAATTCAAACTACAAACCAGAAATGCAAAAATTAATAAAAAGTAAAATGATGAATATAATGAGAAGAGGTGATAAAAGTTTAAAAAGTAAAACTAAAAATTAAAATTATAAAAAAAATAGAAATATGTAAATCTCATACTTGAAAAAATGTAGTTAAATTCAAAAACTCAAGAAAAAAATCCCAGAATTTAAAACTCAAATCAGCCAAAAATAATTAAAAAATTATATAAATATTACGTAGTACAAAATAAAATTGGGAAAGGTTGTAAAAAGAAAAGAAAGTGTGTTAAAACAATTAATAGTAAAAATTATAAAATAAAAGTTTAAAATAAATTCGTTCAAAATTTTAAAAATAACATATAGAAAGATATAATAGAGAAAGAAAATAAAAAAGTACACAAATTATTAAAAAATCCACAAAAAACTAAAACAAGTGTAAAATAATTTATAAAAAATAAATTCTGGAAATTACCAATGTGAAAGATTAAGATTTGTGAATTTGCAATACACACACACACACACATTTTGGTTCAAGTGAGAAATGAGAATTAATCTCAGCCATTAGATTTACGAAGTTGCACTAAAAATGACTTTATGTTGTAGTAATATTTAAATTTTGCACTGTTGCACTAAAATGGGGTCATGTTGCACTAATATTTAACGGCGTTGCACCGAAATAGTTTCATGTTGCAGTAGACAGGTGTAATACGGATTTTTCAGAAGTATTTACAGAAATGCCACCGTGCTAAATTACATATTTCAGTGCATCATGAAGTGTCTTTTACTGCAACTTAGTCAAATTTAATGGTTGAGATTGATTCTCATTTCTCACCTAAAAGGTTCTTCTCACCTGAACCTTACCCTTATATAGGCCTAGATAAGAGATCAAATGCAAACTCATCTTAATATGCTAACCTACAAACCTAATCCTAACCCTCTATTTTAGTTGATCATCCGTGTCTTTCATTTCAATTAGATTAGTCAGTTGAGGGCTTATTAGTCTCTTAGGTTTATTTTATATTTGGAAATTAAATCTCATTCGGGTATTTCCTTTGTTTCACGCTCGACGATCTTCTCTCCAGATCAAAGCTTCACCATCTCCATCTACCTTTCTGTATATGCATCCATCTCCATCTCTGGTTGCGTCTCCATCTCTATCTTCATCTCCATCTTATTTTTTTCTCCATCTCTGTCTCAAATTTAATAGAGTGTGGTTGATGCTCTTCTATTCAAAGTCATGAATTCTGGCATGTATAGGGAGAACATTAGTTCTCAAAGGCCGTGGATTCCGACGTCGTCATGGAATATGTGTGCAC